CCACTTCTGTCATGGAGACAACTGAGAGATACTTGCACCTAGTATTAATTCAGATCATGTCTCTAGGGAGGTCAACTAGCCAAGTATTGAGTTCGATCCAGCATCATCAAGGTTACAGGGGTTTCTGCCTGAGAGTAAGGCTGGCAGGACCCTTGCTTGCGGCTATAGCGGATCTGCCAGCAGCTCGGTCTGGCCAGATAATCTGCAGGTGGGTTTGGAGGTCATTACAAGTCTGCAAGGTTGGTCCGTGAGCGAGAAGAAAGGGCTTGTGAACTGAAGGGAAGGGGCCTGGAGCCAAGTTCATCATGGGCCTCAAGGGAACCTGTCATGAGCAAACCAGGGAGGGCCTGAGAAGCTCAGAAGGAACAAACAGGCCAGAGGCAAGATAAAGCCAATGGAGTCGGAAGGCCATCTGGGAGATTCCCCCCCTCAGTGTCTTGGGCGTGGGGGTGGGGGAGGAGGGAGGAAAGAGCCTGCAGCCTGGCAACAGGATCAGAATGATGAGCGTGTTCTTTAAACCAAATTCTAGAACACTCTCCTCAAAAGTGGAATGGAAACCAGAACCAGAGAGCACCACACCTGGACACTGAAACGTTACAGGAAATGTGCACGGGGTATCCAGATTGCCCTTGTGACTCCTCAGGCCCCGAGCTAACCTGCAGAAGCAGGTTCTCGCCCAGAGGGTAGGGCCCTACACAACAATGAGAATCATTTATCCTTGAGGAAGTTGCTCCTGTCGAGGGCTTTGGGTCCTACTGATATGCAGGTGCTCCCTGAGTAAGCAGAAAGGGATTCGGGAGCGAAATGAGTCTACTCTTCCTAAGGACCACCTGAAAATGGCTGAAACCAAGGCACCGAGCAAACCATTTATGAGAGGGGAAAGAAACGGTTTGTGTGTGGGGTGTGCATGGTGTGTGTGTGTGTGTGTGTGTGTGTCTGTATGTGACAGTATCATGGTAAATGCTGGTCCTTTATAGGAAGTTAATAACTTTTGGAGAAAAGCAGCTTCATGAGCTTCGACAGCGGTATGGATTAAGCAGGGGAAGTGGAGGTTAGAAACCTGAAGTGCTGTGCATAATGAATGATGAAACTTTGGGAGTGCGAGACCTGCAAACCAGAAGGAGCGGCCAATTCTACCTCCAGCAACTCGTGATGACAGAGAGCGAGGCTAAAGGGGAAACACCCGTGGCAGAAGAAGGATTTGGAGGAAATGGGATGGTGGGATGGAAGCTCCCGGCCGGGAGAACATTCTCAGAGCTCCTCCAAGCGAATGCAGTCTCCCTTGAAGAGGCATTTACGAAGACTATATTTAAAATGGTCCAAAATGTGGGGACTCCTAGGGAGCCAGTAGCTCCCCAGAAGAAAGATGGGGCTTTCTACCTCCGTAAGGGGACATGGGTCACTCAGCCCTGTCCTCTGGGGCTGTCACAAGCAGCACGGACTCGATGGCAGTGAGTCTGACTGGGGAGGCAGAACAATCCCGGCCTCGTGCTCAAAGGCAGCTGCCACAGGCGGCCTTCGCTGACCTCTCTTCAGGTTGCCTTTGAGTGCACCTGATTATCTGCCTGCCGTTGGTCGCTACTACGTGGTGTAGCCCAGTTTGCATGGTAGTTCATGCCGTTACTGTTGTTTCAGATGAATAAGAAGGAAAAAGGAAAGTTAAAGAAAGGCAGGAGGTTGGAAGGAGATGAGACAGAATACCCCATGCCAGCCATGTTGTATAAATGTCAACCACAGTACTCCTTATCACATCTAAGCTTGGTGATGGTGAGAAATCTCCCATTGAGTCCTTCCCAGACTTACCAAGCCCACCCAAGTTGCGATTATTATCCTTATTTACAAAAGGGCAAACAGAGACACAGGGAGCCTCGTAACTTGCCCACCATTGCTTTTGTAGCTAGGATTCAAGCCGAAATCCAACCTCTGGCTCCAACGTCCATCATCCTCGCCATTACTTTGTTACTGTAGATGAAGTTAAGGTAAAAAGAACACATGCGTTCTAATCAAGGGCGTGGCTTGAGAGCAGGATTGCAAAGCCTATGGAGAAACCAAGCTTAGATTTCTCACCATCAAAAAGAGAGCTCTCGTGTCTACATCTTACGGTAGTCTATAGTATTCTGTATACCGGAGGTTGGCCTACATTTGCAGCTGTTGAGTAAAGGCTCCTTTTTCCTGCTTTGCAATGAAGAGTTAGGCCACCACACTCAGTCTGTGCTCAAAAGTCATTATGTCCCAGTTTTATACATAGCAGAATTTATGGAGAGGATATGCGCTAACTCATACAAAATGACATTCTCATGAGTCTTTCAGCATATGAAATCTCAATCAAAAACTAATAACTGGAATAGTCTTTGCTGCCAGAAACATGCAGTAGTTGACCCCTGAAGTGATGTCAAATGCCACAAAGTGATAGGCCAGCGGTTTTGAAACTGTGTTTTGATGGGCTTGGCATTCCCAAGGAGTCCCTCAAACTGGTCACGTGACTGCTAACCAAGAGGCCAGCGATTCAAGTCCACCCAGAGTGGCTTCAAAAGAAAAGCCTGGCTGTCTACTTCCAAAATAATCAGCCATCCAAAATCATGTGGTGCACAGTTCCACGTTGCACACCATCGCCGCTGCGCTGTAATCAATCAACAGCAACTAATGCGTGCTACCAATTTCCCCCAGACAACCCTGTTGCCCGGCTTCAACCTTCCTTTATGTATCTTACATGTGGAAATTTTGCACAAGATTTCTTTTTACATGGTTCTACTGTTTAAATTTAAAACACACACACACACAAACACACGCACACACAAAAACTAGAGTCATTTTTTAAAAATATAGAGTTGGTTATTTCAACCCAGGGACAAAGGAACAAGTGATCCAAATCGGTGGTGAGGAGGGTGTAGGAGGCGTGGTAGGGCGTGATCAAGGGTAATGTAACCAAGAGGAATTACTGAAACCCAAATGACGACTGAGCATGATAGGGGACAAGAGGAAAGTCAAAGGAAACAGAGGAAAGAGCTAGGAGGCAAAGGGCATATATAGAGGTCTAAATTAAGGTATGTCCATATGCAAATATATTTATATATGAGGATGGGGAACTAGATCTATGTGCATATATTGATAGGTTTAGTATTAAGGTAGCAGAAGAACATTGGGCCTCCACTCAAGTACTCCCTCAATGCAAGAATACTTTCTTCTATAAAACTGGCAATCTATGATGTACACCTTCCCGACAAAACCGCTGAAAACAAAGCGGGTGAATAAGCAAATGTGGTGAAGAAAGCCGATGGTGCCCAGCTATCAAAAGATATAGCATCTGGGGTCTTAAAAAAACTTGAAGGTAAACAAGCGGCCATCTAGCTCAGAAGCAACAAAGTCCACGTGGAAGAAGCACACCAGCCAGTGCGATCACCAGGTGTTGAAGGGATCAATTATCAGGCATCAACAGAACAAAAAAATCATACCATTGTGAATGACGGGGCTAGTGCGGAGTGGAGACCTGAGTTAGTTAATTGTGCCAGCCTGGCCGATGATCACATGTGGTGCTGGTTGAAAGGCGGAGAGGGATAAATGGGTGGTGAAGCCTCGCCTTTCTAGTTCTCGGGTCTCTTGTTTTGTGATGGTTG